GTGGAACTGATCCCAGCATTTGGTCTTCTATTCTGAGGGTTGAAGAGCCAGGCAGCTCCACCAGCTTCTCTGTTATGGACTGGGTTTGGGGTGGGGCTATCACTTTTGGTTCTATTATGCTCAGGCTGCCTTAGTAGGCACTAGGTCTTTTCAGATCTGCTGGCAGTGTTGTCTGCCACTCAAATGTGAGCTCTCCAACAGCAAAGACTGAAGAAAGAAGAGCCAAAGGATACATCTAAATAACCAATTCCCCTTCTAAGAAAAGACCCCAAAACTGTGTTAACACTCTTTGGGGATGACAATGTTGTTCCCCTGACATTTGAAGAAAACCCCAAACCCCATGATCATTTTCTTTGAACTAAGGACTTCATGTGTCGAGCGATAGCGAGAGATCATTCCAGGTGTTTTCTGTCTCCACAATTTTATTCATGTCTCTCTCAGCCATTCATTAGGTAAAATAAAGACAGATGGGCATTCTCATTATGGTTTTCGTTGTTCTTTTTATTCTGGACACCTTAGTAATATTTTTTTCTATTAATTAACCTTATTGAGACATAGTTTATGGGAAATAAAACGTATTCATTTAAAATGTAAGTTGAGTGAGTTTGAAAAATATTCAAATGTGGTTAATTATCACTACAGTCAGGATATCAAGTGTTCCTTTCACCTTTGTTCCCTTCTGAAGTCACTCCCATCACCACTACCACCAGCACCATTGCTGGCAATCACTGGTCTCATTTCTGTCACTACAGATAGAAATCAGCTGGTTCTAGACCTCTGTGGAAATTGATCACACACATATACACATGAAAATATTCTTCTCAGACCCATCTAAAATAAAGCAGAGAGACCATGGGAAAAAATACCCAGGTTTCCAGCAACTGTTGAGATAAGGATAGCTATACAGGGCATTGACTCACATTGATTTCCTGTGCGTGGGTGTTACCTTCTAGGTTAATTCTTTTTTATCTAACATTTTCTCTAGTTCCTGGTCCCCTTTTCCTATTGGCCTCAGTTGCTTTTAAGGTTATCTGCTTTAGTTTCTCTGCATTAAGGGCAACAAATGCTAGCTAATTTTTTAGGTCTCTTACCTATCCTCACCCCTCCCTTGTGTGCTGTCACTTTATCATGTACTCAAAGTCCAATCCCCTTGTTGTGTTTGCCCATGATCTAATGTCCACATATGAGGGAGAACATACGATTTTTGGTCTTTTGGGCCAGGCTAACCTCACTCAGAATGATGTTCTCCAATTCCATACATTTACCAGCGAATGATAAACATTTCGTTCTTCTTCATGGCTGCATAAAATTCCATTATGTATAGATACCACATTTTCTTGATCCATTCGTTCAGATTAGCTTTACATAGTAACTGCTGTCACTTGCCAGAGCTTGCCAGCTCCCCCAAGCACCAAAAGTGACAGTGAGCTATTCTTTCATAATAGCTTGTGTCCTAATAAAAAATCCCCAACTGTTCCTTTTTCTCTAGACATACCAGAGGCCATCCTGCTTTCCACAGGTGTCCCAGATTGTAATTCTAATTTCTGTGTCACTCTCAAATAAAACCTTTTGTCTAGAGATGTGTTTCTTCTTTGGCTTAGCTTGGACAACAGAAATGAAACCATTCAGTTTAAACTCTTATTTGAGACTTTTTTCAATTAGCATCATGTTTTTAATATTCATCCAGATTCTTGGGTGTTTTGGTAGCTGTTCTTTTTCATTGCCAAGTATACACAGTGCTAACAAGCTACAAGTCTGTCCACTCACCTGTTGATGCTCAACTTGTTTCATATTTTTAGTACTTATGAATACAACCATTAAGGGCATTTGTGTACAGATCTTCTGCATGTGTTTTCAGTTTTCTCAAGTAACTAGAAGTGGGATTACAGAATCAGTAGAGATTTTCTTTTTTAAAATTAAGACAAAGAAAGCATATCACATTAAACTGAGTCGAATCACCATATTTGCAAGCACTGACAGGAGGCTCAGGATTTGCTGCAGAGTGGCTTGAGGGGAAATTAAGAGGTGGCAGTTGGTCAGGTGGGAGCAGGCAGCCTCCACTTCTGAAAGGATCAGTTAAGGAGTTACTGCCCTGGGTAAGCCAGGCTCCTGAGCCCCAGGCTATTTCAGATTTGCAAGAAATACTGCTCTGAAACTCAACTGTGACTGGCTGAAAATAAGGCTAGAGTTCAAGGAAGGGCCTGGCAAAAAATGAGCCTGTAATAAATCATCAATTCCATATAAGGACTTAAGTAGGGAAATTTTCTTTAACATTCCAGTTCTGCTTTCTCATTCGATTATAATGGCTGCCCATGATTTTGGGTAGATTAAATCAGCTACAGCCAACCAAACGTATATCAAATATAAATAATTTTTATCCTGTATTCTTTCTCTATAATTAACTCCACACATCCCAGAGGGGATTTTTCCAGTTCAATATCAAAGAGTGGTTAGATATTTGATATAAGAGCTTAAAAAATTGACTGTGTAATTTTATTTCATACACATGTTAGATAAAAAATAAAATAAAAAACTTTCTTTGGGTGCCAAAAGGCTGGTGTCAAATCTCCTCAAAAGCAAAGAACATTGGGAAAATAATGAACTACCTCTGAGTTCATCAACAACTTAGTCTATGTTTTGAACTGTTATGATGAAGCTATGTGATCACTAGTCATTTTGTAGTTTCTCACCATTCTAGTGAATTATCAAACCTGAACGTTGCATTTTCAGAGTTCTAAGGTACCTTTTCAATTTAATCTTTAAGAGAAAATAGTACTTAGGAAATATGAATTTACAGAGAAGAAAAAATAAATGTTCAAAGTCTTTTATAATGCATGTGACACTCAAAACTTACTGAATGCCTTGTTTTGTTTTAAATCTTGCAGAATATTATAGAGACCTAAGTAGGGCTTCCTTGTAGAAAGAATAAGATAATAGATTTGAGCATTTTTGGTTTGGCTAGTAAATCAATACATTGTCTACCATTATGAAGCCTCCATGACAAAAGACAAACTGAGAGGTAAGGAGAACACCAGCTTGTAGAATCTCCCTGCAGCAGCTGAAACTTGTTATCAGAGCTAGCTCAGGAGTAATTTGTCTACTGCAGTTCACAAAAGTTAACATAGAGACCCTCTGCCTCATGAAAGTCTAATTCACTTAACATGCTTGACTGTTCTTTGTAAGTGTGTTGTTCCTACCCATCATCTTGCAGGAATATGGAAAGGGTGCTGCACTAGAAAGAAGAGGCTCTATGGCTCTTGAGCAAATTATTTAATGTCTTTAGCTTCGCATCCTTGAAGTGCATTGAGAAGTATTTTTTCCGATTCAAAGTCAGGAGGTTGGGCTCAGACTTCTTGATGCTAGGTGACCCATTCAATACCCTTTCCTGGGGCTTCTGATGTTACATAGCAATGGCTCTGCTCTCCAGCCCAGCACAAGCCAGTGGTCTAAGAATAGAGGTCTCAGCCTCTATGGTTGGAAAGAAAATCCCATGGAAGTATTTCTAGGTTTCCAAATTTTACTTTTGAAAACTAACATTATGTTAAATACTATGTTAAAGTAATACCTAAAAATGGTCTGAGACACAAATCCACTTGATTCATATATTTGCTTGTGAATGACATCTTTTATAAGCTGGCTTCCTTGGCACCATTTTGAACCTAAAAATTGCTAACCTATAGAGCTACTTTCAGGAACTAGTCCCTGTGCAGCTGAAGGAGACAGCACAAGCTCTAACAGGTCTATCAGGAAGATGCCAAGTGCAAATTTGTACTGACATGATTGAATGATCCAAGCTTCACTACTTTAATTCTCATTTTGAGAAAAGAACTAACTTAGGCCAAAGACAGTTGTTATGTCATTAAGTAGTCATGAGCATGCACCTGGTAGACCTCCAACCACAGGGAGTGTAGCTGGCCAATGACCCCAACTGCTGTGCTCCAATACCCAACCCTATATTCTCTCAGAGGGCCACCGCTGGAGCACAGCAGGGACATGAAGATAGGCCTCCGATGGATGACTGTGCTAAAAGTCTTCCTGAAGCCTGTTACCTCTGCCTATATAGCAGAACAGTACCCTCCATCCACCAATCTTTCTCCCTTTTTACTTGGAATAAGATTTCACCATGTTTAAACAGTCATCCTAGTTCCTTCGCTATTTCCTTTCATGTAGGTGTTTTTCCAAAATTAATCACGCATTTTAGTTTTATCTTGGCTAGACTAACATATCATTCATTCAGTGAAGAAATACTTGTTAAGTACCTATAATATTCTTGGCTCTTTGTTTTAGGCACTGGTATATAAGACTGAGAAGGCTCCCCACAAAGTATCATAACTGCTCCTTTCTTTAGCTCTTACTGTGTGTTGGGCACTGATCCAAGAGCACTTTCTGTGCCTCATCTCACTTGTTCTTAACAATAACTCTGAAAGGAGGGATCATTATTCTTGTTCACGGATAAATTTAAGGATAAGACCAGGAGAGAAAAGTTCTCAGGGGCTTCCCTGAGCTGGCCAGTTTTTTTTTTCTTTTTTCCTTTTTTAACTCCAAAACTCATGCTTTTAACAACTAGGCAATGATGTATCTTTAGTTGGGTGACAAATCTGGGCACTTATTTTCTGGCAATGATAGCACATCTTAATAGTTGACTTTCTCAAACCTGGCTTCATTTATTCAATTTATGAGGGTCAGGGGAACCATTTACAGGAGAGGGAGGCAGCACTTTAGAGCAGTCAGTCCTACACCATTTCAAAGTTGGGTTAATGATGATATTGTTTAACCCAATTAGAAGCGGTCCCTCACCAGATGCAAGTTCCCAACTTGTCTTCACTATTACAAAAAAGATAGAACAGAAAAACCCTTGGATTCTCTGCTTTTCTTCCTAGTCACCGCCCAGCCCTGGCAAGCTGATGGCAAGTGGTCACAGACATCCAGGTTCCACTCAGAGGCCAGGTCCACTGTAGAGCCTGCCAAGCATGTTGCTCACAGTTGATGAAAATACATACCATGATATCCAAGGTCAACTATGGTGTCCTCTATACTTGACTCAAGTTCATCAAGGTCCAGGGAAGGAAGAGGCTGAGACTCAGGCAGGTTCCCTGACGTCGGTTCATCTAATGCCTTGTGGAAGGGAATTAACAATTCATGAGAAGCTGACAGGAGGAAATGGTCCAACCACAAATGAAACAATATTCTTGTTTAGAACACTATTTGGAAACAATCTACCTAATACCCTCACTTAAACCTGGTAAGATTTTCAAACCTTAGGAAACTAACTTGGAAGCTGCCCTGAATCAATGAGACAGGTGATCTTGGGCAAAGCATTTAACCTCCACAGGCCTCAGTTTCAGGGCCATGACTGGGCGAGTCAAGCAGGCTGCCAGGGTGCAAAACCAAGGGCACTCACATTCAGGCTCAGACAAGTACATCTGGCAACATCAGCAGCTGGGAGCACAGCCTCCTTCATTTTGCACCCCTGTATCCCATGTACCCCACGCTACCCCAGCTCCCTTCATTTCAAAATGAAAAGTGGTGGGAGACCAAGATGGCAAATAGCTGACAGATCCTGGATCCCTCAGCTTTCACAATTCCCAAGGAATTCTTCAGATTCATGGTAGCAAGGATTGGGTAATCTGGCTATTTTGCCAACTAAGATATCACCAATGCATAGGGGTGCACATAATGTACAACAACCGTCCTTTAAATTAGCTTTTTATAGCATGAAACAGCCCCAGAAGCCTGCTGGAAAAGCCATTTTTTTTTCTTTTCTTTCTTCCTCCCTCTCTCTCTCCTTTCTTTCCTCCTTGGAAGAGCAAAAATGTAATGCAGAGAACTGCAGAATGAGTTCTGCAAGCATCTGGGACTACTGGGATCCACCAAAATATAGAACCTGCCTGCCACCTGCTTGCACAGCAGTCCTGGAGCTGACCCCCATACCACCAAGTGAAACTGCAAACCTGCCAGGTGAGCACACCACATCATCTGCTGTGTAGGGAACCTCCTAGTCCGGAGCAGCTGGTGGACAGATTGCATCCCTCTTGGACAAAATTGGTGGCCAAAATAACGGTCCTGGAGCTGACCCCCATACCACCAAGTGAAACTGCAAACCTGCCAGGTGAGCACACCACATCATCTGCTGTGTAGGGAACCTCCTAGTCCGGAGCAGCTGGTGGACAGATTGCATCCCTCTTGGACAAAATTGGTGGCCAAAATAACGGAGGGAAAATTTCAGCTCCAATTGGTGGGGGTGGGGTGAAGTGCTGACTGACCCAGCCTGCATGGGGGTAGGACAGCCTAGCTGAAGTCTGGATAAAAATAACAATGCATTCAATCACCTTGGAAAAACTGGTAGTGAGCTGAAACTGACAGACTTCCAAGGAAAAAACAGTGGGCCAAAAAACTCAATTCAAGCTCCTAGCTTGCCCTCCTGGCAGAAGAGGCTGGTAACTTCACATACCAGCTCCTCACATGACCACTTCAGAAGACCACCTACAAAAAACAACTAACCCAAATGGCCTGTTTCCCCAAGAAGAACCTGGGTTTAAACACCCTGAGCAGACCCCCGAAGCTGTCTGGTAGAGGGGCACCATCCATAGCCATACAGCCCAGCACGTCAACCTTAAGGAGGGTAGAGACACAGACAAAGGGGTATCAGAAAGGTCAGCACCTGGACTACAACTCAGAGGAAAGAGCCCAGAGCACCCACTGAACTGAGAGGAAACCCACGTCTCTCCATAGCAAGGAAGAAATTTGGACATTTTATATATATATACAATGTTTCTAAGTTTTAAAAATTATTTATTGTTACCTATCTCCTTCCATTGTATCCAAATTTCAATTTTCTTAACTCTCTTGTTCCACTTTCCTTTCTCTCCCGCAATTTTTCTTCTTTTCTTCTCCTTACCTTCCTCTCCTCCCCTTCCTTTTCTCCCCACTATCCCTACCTTCTCCACTGTCCCTACCTTCTCCACAACTAACCACTCACTGAATAGTCTATTATACCAACTTTATACATTACTCCCATCCTTCCTATCCCTCTGCAATCTCTGACAATGGCACCATCCCCCACAATGACTAAACTACACTTTTACACACATTATTTTGTTTTAATTACTTTTATTCACATGTGCATACAGTGTTTGGGTCATTTCCCATCCCTTCCCCCTGCTCTCTCCCTTTCCCCTGCCCCCTCCATTACCCCCCCTACCCCCTCGCTACGAGGCAGAAACTGTTTTGCCCTTATCTCTAATTTTGTTGAAGAGTATAAGCAATAATAGGAAGGACCAAGGGTTTTTGCTAGTTGAAATAAGGATAGCTATACAGGGAGTTTATTCGCATTGCTTTCCTGTACATCCTGTACATGTGTGTTACATTCTAAATTAATTCTTCTCGAACTAACCTTTTCTCTAGTTCCTGGTTCCCTTCTCCTATTGGTCTCTGTTGCTTTAAAGTTTCTGCATTAGGTTCTCTGCATTGAGGGCAACAAATGCTATCTAGTTTTTTGGGTGCCTTACCTATCCTTGTACCTTCCTTGTGTGCTCTTGCTTTATCATGTGATCAAAGTCCAGTCCCTTTGTTGTGTTTACCCTTGATCTAATGTCTGTATATGAGGGAGAACATATGACTTTTGGTCTTCTGGGCCTGGCTAACCTTCCTCAGATGATGTTCTCCAGTTCCATCCATTTTCTTGTGAATGATAAGATCTCATTCTTCTTCATGGCTGCATAAAATTCCATTGTGTATAAATACCACATTTTCTTAATCCATTCATCAGTAGTGGGGCATCTTGGCTGTTTCCATAACTTGGCTATTGTGAATAGAGATGCAATAAACATGGGTGTGCAAGTGCTTCTGGAGTAACCTGTGTCATATTCTTTTGGGTATATCCCCAAGAGTGGTATTGCTGGATCATATGGTAGATCAATGTTTAGATTTTCAAGAAGCTTCCAAATTTTTTTCCAGAATGGTTTTAGTAGTTTGCTTTCCCACCAGCAGTGTAAAAGGATTCCTTTTCCCCTCGTCCTCGCCAATACCTGTTGTTGGTGGTGTTGCTAATGATGGCTATTCTAACAGGGGTGTGGTTTTAATTTGCATTTCCTTTATTGCTAGAGATGGTGAGCATTTTTTCATGTGTTTTCTATACATATTATTATTATTACCCTGTAGCCCCTACACCTCATACCTCTTCTTCCCCTCGTCCCATCCCCCTCTCCATGCCCCCTCTTCTAGTGTCATCATTTTACTTACCTAAGTATCAATCTCTATGAAAACAACTGTTATCTCCCCAATACCCATTATTTATATATAATATCACCAAGGGTTTTTTATATATTATGTAAATAACTGATTTGGCATTGAATCTTTGAATTTGTCATTGCTAAGTTAAATCTTCAGGTCAGTGAACAGAAATATTACAACAACCTAGCTAACAACTAAGCTAGTCAGAGCACAGAAATTAAGGGAAAGATACCTCGTGATTAAAATCCCCAAATAACTAATCAACAACACATGAGCAAAGCACAAAATGGAAACAAGGGGGGAAAAGAAGTCAGGAGAATAGGACTCCTCAAAAAGCTAACACTAACACAATAGAGGATTTGGTGGAAAGAGAAGGGTATGAATCCTCAGTTGCTGATGTCAGAAGAATGATGATAAGAATGTTCAATGAGCTTAAAGAGGACATACAAAAACAACTCAATGAATCCCAAGAGAACATGAATTAAAAACCTGAGAAGACACAGAAACAAATAAATGAACTCAAAGAGGATTTCAACAAACTTCGAAATGAAACTAAGGAGATGAGAGAGAAATGAAAATAAAGAAGACAGTACAACATATGAAAGAGGAGTTTAACAAAGATATGGAAAGTCTCAAAAAAAAAAAGGCATTAAACAGAAAACCTGAAAATAAAAAGTTCCTTAAGTCAAATAAAAAATACAGTTGAAAGCTACTCCGGCAAACTGGAACAAGTGGAAGACAGAATTTCAGGGCTCAAAGACAAAAGAGATACCAAAAAAACCCAGAAGTATTCTCAGACAGAAGACTCAAGAACTGCAAAAGGAGTATGAAAGAGTATACATTTGATATATGCAAAAGGGGTATGCATTTGATTCCATCAAATGACCAAACCTGTGAATCATGGACATTAAAGAAGAACAGGTGCAAGATAAAGGTATAAGTAATATATCCAACAAAATAATAGCACAAAATTTCCCAAGAAATTTTCTCAAGAAAGAGAGTCCCATCTAGGTACAGGAAGCCTCAAGGACACCAAACAGACAGGACCAAAATAGAACCTCTCCACAGCATATTAGAGTTAAAATAATTAGTACAGAGAACAAGGATTTGAAGGCTGTAAGAGAGAAACCTTAAAAGCAAGAAGCAGATGGAATGAAGTATTCTGAGCACTGAAAGAAAACAATTTCAGTCCTAGGATGCTCTACCCAGCAAAGCTATCATTCAAAATTGAAGGAGGAATAAAAACCTTCCATGATAAACAGAAACTAAAACAATACATGACCACTAAAAAACCACTACAGATTTTGAAAGGAATCCTACACAAACAAGATGAAAATAAACATAGCCAGGAAAGAATGGGAATAATTAAACCTCAAGAGAAGAGCAGACAAGTAATTAGAGAGTAGCATAGAATGAGTAGCACACACACAAACCTTTACACAACAAAAACAAATACATGTCAGGAATCACCACAAATCTGTCAGTATTAACACTAAATGTTAATGGCCTCAACTCCCCCATCAAAAGACACCAACTGGCAAACTGGATTAAAAAAATTGGTTGTTTATAAGAAACCCACCTTACAGACAGAAACAAGCATTGCCTTAAGGTGAAAGGGTAGAAGAAGATTTGCCAAGCTAATGGCCCAGGCAAACAGGCCATAGCAATACTTCAGATTAAATACTTCTGACTAATATCAGATAAAGTAGACCTCAAACTTAAATTAGTCAGAAGAGACAAAGAGGTCACTTCATACTAATAAAAGGAGCAATACATCAAGAGGAAATGAAAATTATTAACTTATATGTACCCAATGTTGGTGTACCCAACTTCATTAAACATATACTACTGGACTTAAAAACACAGATAAACCCCAACACATTGGTGGCCGAGACTTCAATACTCCTCAATCACCGATAGATAGGTCATCCAGACCAAAAAATCGATAAAGAAACT